TTATAGCATACGGGCCAATCTATTAATTAGTGTTTTTTTTTTATTGCTTAGATAGGTGAACGAGCCCACAGCCCACCTGGTGTTAAGTGGTTACTGGACCCCATAGACATCTACAGCGCAAATGCGCCACCCACCTTGAGATATAAGTTCTAAGGTCTCAAGTATAGTTACAACGGCTGTCCCACCCTTCAAACCGAAACGCATTACTGCTTCACGGCAGATATAGGCATGGTGGTGGCACCTACCCGCGCGGACTCGCAAGAGATCCTACCACCAGTAAAAGAGTTTGGTGAGCCAACTATTCTGAAGTGAAGGCGCTGGTGCTCAGGTGGCTTAGATATGTGGCGCTGAGAGAGAAGGAGCGGGCTGTGGAACTTGTAGACTGGAAGGACATCGTTTCGTAACAGGTATTGCAGGTCTGACGCTGTGGAAGGAAATCTGTTCCAAGTGCTGGAGTAGTGGCGTTTACTGTCAAGAGCCTTGACCCACTTCGGGGCCGTAGTGCCATCGCAACAGTGGTAGGTGGTATTGGTAAACAGCTGCCCAAATCCGTTTCCTTGGCTCGCTTGTTTCCCGCTTATTGATTGGCACTCAAAGATGCTCGTATACCATCAACTGGAACCCAAACTCGTCTCGAGTCAATCAATAATTGAGCTACACCTGTAACTCCTCGGCGCACTTCAGCACGGGGCTTTTATGGTACATCAATTTGTTAAGCAAACCAACAATTATGTGGTTAGTTTAACTAATATATCAATTAGGGATACCTCAGTTTAGATGTTAACGTTACTCCGCTCCGCCCACACGATCGTGCGGTATCCACAGAGGTGATACAACCAAGTTTTTTGTTGGTAAATAACACTTTGGAAAACACTTTTAATGTTGCATGTTTTTTTTTAAATTATACTTCTTTAGGCGCGTTATGAAAAATTTATGAGAGTGAAATTTTACGATGCGCGCGCACCGTGACACAAAATTAACAGAATGAAGTTGCCCACTAAATCGCTCATTACAATGCGACCAACGTAACTTGTTGACGTAACTGATGTTGTTTAATCGATTTTTTTTTAAATTGATTAAAATTTACATAAAAAAAAGAAATAAATTTAATAAAAATAAAGTATAACTTCTTACGCGCGTACATAAGTACACGCACCCTTTTTTTTATAGTATTAATTATATTGTTAATCTAACATGTAACGTTTACTTAATCTAGTATACAAAAATAGCTGGAAATAAATCACGCACGGTCGTTTCATTTCATTAATTTTGAAATGATAACTTCTTATGGCAGGAGGGTAACACGCTTCGTTATGTTACGCGCTACGGTGCCAGTCTGTCTGGCTTCTCTTTCTCTCTTACGCATGCGACAGTGGTACTGAGAACTTATGTGACTTCTACTTATATACCTACATATATTTTTGAATTTTGTTACGATTTTCTTTACATTATCATATTAATGTACATAAAATTTAAGTAATAACCTAAGCTTTTCTCAATTACAACAATTTCAATAATCAAGAGTTGAACAAAGATTAGTTTAAGTTATCACTTCTGTCGGACCTTCTCTGAAGCCATCACTGAAACTTCTTTAACAGCGTTGAGGGTAAAATTTAACTTGCGACAGATCCGTGACGGCTAGAACGAAAAGATAAAATTTAGGAAGAGCGAGAGAGAAAATATACGCGTTTTTTTTATCAAGGTGCATCATCATTAGCCTCTTTATATAAATGAAACCAGTTTTATATTCGCCTTTGTTTTAGTTTCATTACATAGTTCCCTAAGCTTCGATTACTTTTGAGTTTGCATTAGTAGGCCACGACTACCAGAACTATGATACATTGTGTCGCTATCGAAGTATATCCATGATTCGAATATCCATTGTGCTTTATGACGCATTCTCAGAGATCAATTTTCTCTCGTGCTAGTACTCCAACAGTTCGCGTCCCTTCAAATAGTTCTTAGCTGCGAACGATGTCCGTGGGCAACGGCAAGAAATATCTAGTTAGTGTAGAGTAAAATTGCTTATCCACTCTGGCAAAAATATATTTTAAACGAAAACTTGTATAACCGAATAAAAATAAAAGTGTTTGCTTGTAGCAGCTCTTTAGAAATACTTTTTTTTTATTGAAGAATTTGAGTGTGCTTTTTTTGTCGTACTGCGTTATCTTTTTTCTCTTTCTAGTTGAGTTCGACCTTGTTAGCGTTACGCACTGGCGTTCGAAGACGCTGCATTTTAATGTAGCTTTTTTTGTTCAAATTTAAATGGGCACCTATATACACGGAAACTGTTTCTCTACAACACCAGGAAGTATTTCAGTATCACTTATACGAATCCTTAGAAGATATTAACGTAAGCAGAGTGGGGTATTTGGTTGTCAGGAAGAAAGAGAAAGATATCGTATTTATTCATATTTCGACTATCAACAAAACTAAAAACAAACATCTGTGTACAAATGCCAATGACAATACAACTAAAATGACACGTAATTTCTGTTTTTTTTTATTGCATAGGGCGGTGGACGATCTCACGACCCACCTGATTTTTAGTGGTTAAAGGAGCCCATAGACATCTACAACGTAAATTTCGCCACTCACTTTGAGGTTTGACTTATAAGGCCTCAGTATAGTTACAACAGCTTCCCCACCCTTCAAACCGAAACGCATTACTTCTTCACGGCAGAAATAGGCAGGGCGATGGTATCTACCCGTGCGGACTCACAAGACGTCCTACCACTAGTAAATGCTATAAGTTTTATTATAGTAACTATTACGTGAACGAGTTCATGACTCACTTGGTGTTAAGTGTTGTTAACAGCGTAAATATCACGAGTCACTACAATTTCGCGGCAGAAAAAAATTAGGGTAATGCTACCAATCCGTGCAAGCTCACAAGATGCCCTACCATCATTAGTAAAAATACACTTTTAATTATTAGGCACAAACCGTTTTATCGAACACTTTTTAACTTTACAATGGTACTTCCTTTTTTTTATTGGCTGGATGAGCGGACGAGCTCACAGCCCATTTGGTGTGAAGTGGTAGACATCTACAACGTAAATGCGCCACCCACCTTGAGATATAAGTTCTAAGGTCTCAAGTATAGTTACAACGGCTGCCCCACCATTCAAACCGATTACTGCTTCACGGCAGAAATAGGCGGGGTGGTGGTTTCTACCCGTGCTGACTCCAAGAGGTCCTACCACCAGTAATAACGCGTTAGTATAACGTAATATTTATATACAAACCCAATAATCTTTACGTTTCAACACAGACCATGTAAATGGGTGCGTCTAATCTGCCTGTGTGTAATCCATTTAGTTTCAAGCCGGATCTTCTCAATGGGTCGCGATTCCGTTTCGGTTGTAGATTCAGCGAAGCATTGCTAGGGCTAGTGTTAGCAATTTTCTCTGGTTGACCTCCGTGAGCTAACCTATCGTTCCGCGCGAAGTTGAAATAGTCCTTTAGACTACCAATAATTAGGTAGGGGAAAAGACTGGATGGATGTAATATGCTCTGCGTAAACCCTGTCCCGCCGTCTCAATAGCTCCGACTGGGTTCCCGCCCGGTCCGGGGTAGGGCGCCGGCTGTGAGCGGCAGGAGTTTTTGGTGAGGTTCGACTCCCACATACCCCACTTGCCGTGCGGGTGGGGATCCGGCGATTTTCTCCTGTGAAAAAAAAAAGGGGAAAAGACTGCCTAATTAAAAGAAGCTGTTCAGGAGTCCAGTGTGAGTGACGCGTTAATAAACACTAAAACATTCTTTGGTTATGCGTTCGTTTAAATATGATCATCATTTCTCTTTGTAACATTAATACGAATTTCCTTTTTGTATAGGATTTTTGTCAAAAATCGTCTGTCGCATTGTAAACACAATTACCACACGGCTTTTACAATTTAGTTATTTTTTTGGCGTGTCTCAAGTGTTATGGGTTTTTTTTATTGCCCTTGTAGGCAGACGAGCATACGGCCCACCTGATGGTGAGTGGTTACCGTCGCCCATGGACTTCAGCAGTGCCAGGGGCAGAGCCAAGCCGCTGCCTTCCGTACTGGTCACCGCAGACTGAAGACTGCTGCTAGGATGTCAGGAGCAGATCAATCTGCCTTCGTTTTAGTCCAATTTTTGATGTTACCAGTGGAACTCGACGGCTTTCTCCCGACAAAAGGTCGAACAAAATTGTTTTTGAACGAGGTTTTATTTCGTATCTGATTACAATCATATCCTAAGACATCGCTCTCAATAGACAATGATCCTTGAGTGATACCGTCTTTCTTTTCAAACACATCGCACCAATATTATCAAATTATTCTCGCATTAGTTTTAATATAAATCGCTTGGTACCTACCTACTCAGTGTTGGTGTATGAACGATATTATTACATGCATAACGCCGTGTAAATTTTTATTTTTATTTATTGCTCAGATGGATGGACGAGCTCAGAGCCCACCTGTTGTTAGCCACACCAGTAACTACACTGGAGCTTATTGACATCTACAACGTAAATGCCGCCACACACCTTGAGATATGAGTTCTAAGGTCTCAGTATAGTTACAACAGCTGCCCCACCCTTCAAACCGATACGCATTACTGCTTCGCGGCAGAAATGGGCGGGGTGGTGGTGGTGGTGGTACCTTTTTTTTTTTATTGCCCTTGTAGGCAGACGAGCATACGGCCCACCTGATGGTGAGTGGTTACCGTCGCCCATGGACTTCAGCAATGCCAGGGGCAGAGCCAAGCCGCTGCCTACCGCTTAATACTCTCCACAAGCCTCGTTTGAAGAAGGACATGTCATAGCGCTCGGGAAACACCGTGGAGGGGAGCTCATTCCATAGCCGGATGGTACGTGGCAAATATGACCGGATGGTACCTACCCATGCGGACTCACAAGGGGTCCTACCACCTTAAAATATTGACTATCCATTAATTTGGCTTTCAAAACTGATTATTATATATCTTTGTTACAGATACCGAAATAGAAAATCCTGCAACCTGCTATCGTAATGGAGAATCTACAGACGAATGACCGAAAGCATGCGAGATTGGCCGCAGTAGAAGAATTAACTGTGAAGGTTCTTGATGATACGGACATCAAAGAAAAGTATAGGGCTCCATATACTCTTACTGCTTACTCCATATACTCTTACTCCATATACTCTTACTGCTTACTAAGCGTGCTGATCAGTTTTGTGCTTGGTCTCTCCATTGGGGTCCTCATCACAAGGCCGGACCCTCAAAGACAGACGGACAGGATCACTACAGCCAGACAAGGAAGGCGTTTGGATATAGAAAACGTCTCATATACAGGAGTCGCATTCGTAAACAACCACCGCTCTGATTTCAATAGACAAATATACCCGAAACATTTGAACGACGATCTGAGGGACATATTGAAAGATAACAAAGGAACAAATGTGAATTTTCGACGGACGCCAAACGAGGACACCGTTTTATATGATAATGTTTATTGGGGTCCCGAAATCGAGAACTCCATGCCGCAGGGCTATGGCGAGAACAGCGCGGAGCTCTGGGAGAGATACGTCGGCGGCAGCGAGGTAGTTAAGATGGAAATCGGTTGCGGCAGAATGCAAAATCGACTGGTAACGTTCCGGGACGGCATCAGAGCCTGCGTTCGCTACAGACAAAACACCGATCAAATTCAAGGCGAGATATTCAGCTTCTACGTCGGCAGGCTGCTGAACCTGACCAATCTCGCCCCTTCGGTGGTCAAGATCGTCGATCTGAAGGACAAACTGTGGAGGAACGTGGTCAACGACATAGCAGCTGCTAAATGGAGCAGGAACCGCGCGATAGTACTGACACAGTACGTGCCTAGCTTGGAGCCAGCTCACATACCGGACGTCTTCAAGTCTTCGACGCGCCACTTGAACAAAATCGACGTTTACAACATGTCGAACGAAGAGAACGAAACTAGCGACATCACGAAAGAGCTATTAATAGAGAAAATGAGGATTAAAGACGTGAGAAGTAAAGCGAAAAACATCGAAAAATTTAGCAGAATCGATATGAGACTGAACGACAAAACAGTGAAGTCGTTCTTGGAGCTAGCTCAGTGGTCGGACTTGATTGTGTTTGATTATTTAACCGCCAATTTGGACAGGATAGTCAATAACTTATTTAATTATCAATGGAACGAGAACATCATGAACGGGCCGGCCCATAATTTGGCCAAGAAGATGGACAGCGGTCTTTTGGTGTTCCTCGACAACGAGTCTGGTCTTCTGCACGGCTATAGGCTCCTGAAGAAATACAACGTGTACCACAGCCTGTTGTTGGACAGTTTGTGTGTGTTCCGCAAAAGTACCATAGACGCTTTAAAGCGATTACATTATAAACAGGACGTTGGCGCGAAATTGAGTGATATGTTCCATTTGCGAAATAGCGCTGTAGTCAGGGATGTACTGCCCGCGTTGCCGGAGAAGAACTCGAAGGTTCTACACGAGAGAATAGGCAGGGTATTAAGTCAAGTGCAGAAATGTGAGGAGGCATTAAGATAGCGTAATCGTCGGTGCGTTGTGTATGTGGGCTAGCGCCGAAACTGATACAAGATTTGGACAATGCCTTTTGTGCGTAATCATTCCCGTGTAAAGCGAGGTTTTTTTTTATTATTTCCTACCTATGCTGATAGCCTTGAGAGGCTATTTCAGCTTCACCCTAACGTGTAGGTGAGCTCACGGGGCTCAAACCGGAGTGTTCCTAACACTGGCCCTAGCAAGAGCAGTGCTTCGCAGAACCTACCATCGGACCAGAAACGCGACCCACTAAGAAGATCCGGCGAGAAACTCAGTGGGCTGTGTCTTTGGGTTAATTTACGCGTCAAGCCCTTCATCTCAAGCGACGGGTTCGGCGAGGACGGTGACCGGTGCTTGTGGTGCCTAAAAGCACCGTTAACGGATCGGGAGGATCCGTAATGACGTGGAGCAAGGAGGTATTTGATACGTTGTATGGGAAGAAGAAGGAAGGGATCCATCATATGGTAGTGGTAACGCCTGTGATTCCTCATCGGTTTGTGCCACCGTCTGTTCCAGCCTGAAGGGTGGGGAGATAGCAGTTATTTACAAAGTAATTTGACCTCATCTCAGAATCAACAGATGTCATTCACGTTAAATGCAAAATTATTCGATGCTGGTAATAGCGTAATGCGGTTCTAATTAGTTGCATATTAACCCTTATAGCGCGCGCCGTCGATAGATGATGCGTATAAAGTGCCGAGCGTCGATATACCGACTGTTGCGCAGTTCGATTGTAGGTATTAAGAACAATTATAAATAACCATTTAAAGTTGTGTTTCTGTGAATTTAGTATTGATTTTCATATTTATTGTTTTTAAGGTACGTTTTTTTTTCAAAAATCCTCTAAAAATTATGTGAAAATAAGCTTAGCACTAAAAGGGTTAATATTGTATGATTATGACGAAGGCCACGTATGAGAAATAAATGGATTTAATCTTTGACAATGTTCGATGTTGGAACTGTTAGCTCGAGAAGTTCTTGCTGAAGTTATGTCACGTTTTTTTTAATATTGTTTCTGAAGTGGAACTTCTTTAGGCGGGTTGACAGTAAAATTTAACTCGCGACAGATTCGTTACGGCTAGAGAGAAAAGATACAGCTTAGGACGAGCGAGAGTGAGAAAATAGACAGAGCGTCTCGCGAACCACTCGACCGTGGAGGGAGGGAGAGGACAAAGCGAGCTAGGTCGTTTCTTTTATAGACAGCGTTCGCTATAACAAGAGATATAAGGATGAAAAATGAAGAAGACCACAATACTACACACCGCAAAATAAGTTTCACTTCTTTCAATTTTTTACTATAATAAAATTTAATATATAATGCAGCGGTCGCCCCACCCTACAATCTGGAAAGCAATACTACTGCTTAATGGCGACAAACTACTATATTATATATTTGATGTAACAAAATGTATTTAATGTAATATTCGATTATCATTACATATCGTGTCCGTATATAATAAGTTAAATAATTAATTTTAAAAGTGATATCGTATAATTTTTTTTGATACCAAATAGTTTGTTTATTTATTTTCTTTAACGAATACAATTGTATATAATTTAAGTGTGTAATTTAAGTGCCAGTTTAGTTAATGTATTGCGTGATGTTAATTTGAGGATTTTATGTAACAGCGGCCTCAATCTAAGATTATAATGTGTGTGTAATGCGCTTAGTTATCACTTAGCGATAATATTGCTAAGTTATCATTTACTACATCACTGAATACTATATTCGAAAAAGAATCAATTTTTATTTGATGTGGGTTATGACATGTGAAGTGAAGTTAATTGACAATGAGGTTATTAACAGAGTTTTATGTATGAAGACTTTAGAAGAAGAGGTAGACCTAAGAAGAAATTGATGGATTGCGTGAAAGACGATATGTGTAAGAGAGAAGTGAGCGAAGTAATGGTATATGATAGAGGGGTATGGAAACAGAAAGTTGCGCCAACCCCGGATGACTGGGAGAAGGACAGGAGGATGATGAGAATTGAGTAAGCGCCAAAAATATAATTGAAGAATTGAAGCCGTCAGCGCCAAAGTGACCTCATCTGACCATAGTATGGAGATAATGAGGACCGAATTTACTTTTACACTGCTTCGTAGGCAAAAACAATACGCGCAAAATAATTTTCATAAAGCCATCTGTTATTTAGGGGTCAAAATAGGGATAGGCCGGTTTTGCTTTGAAAATTTATAATGTTTTAAATATCGTTAAAGGTATAAAATTCGTTTTCTTAAAAAAAAGTTAAGACACTTCAATCCTACAGGTGCGTTATGACAATAAGTTAAGAACTATGTGTATGACAATTGAAAGTCTTACGAAATATCTCTGAGAAGCAATTTTATACGAGAAATATTCAAACAAAAAATACAAATATAAACTAATTGTTATCTATGAAATAGAAATTTGAATAAAAAAGAGGCATTTACAATTAATGTACCGAAGAACATTGAAAATATTATCTAATAGAGATATTATTATAGTAACTTAAATAAATATAATAAGAAATGGATAAAACCACAGAAATAAATCAAGATCTTGATATTATTTCGGTGGATGAAACCATCTAACATGCGTCTATGGGCGCCGGTAAAATTCTAGCAGAAAAGCCACCACCTCAATAGAATCTCAATTAAGACACAAATTCTCAAATATCTCAGTTCCCGCCTTTTCTGTTAATTAATGTCTCTTGAGTTAAATGTCAATTGTTAAGACAAAAAAAACCTTTTGTCAAATCGAAGAGGCACAAGGAATTTTTTAATACAGTCAAGTCTTTTGTTATTGTGAGATCGTTTGTTAGACAAAAAGTTGGTTAAAAGGGAATAAAAAGAAATAGCCGTTATTTAAAAAGTTAGGAAGTTGAGAATTCCGTGCATTTTTTTGGAAGAGCCCGAGATTTCCCCACACTTGTGTATTTTCACAGATACTAATCAGTTAATATATTAAAAAACACAATAATTCACAAGGTTGACAGTGGCTGTGAGTGTCTGTGTGTGTTTGTTTTTTTAAATATTATATCCGTACTCCGCTATAACAAGTGACCAATAGTTTTAGTTTTTTTAATATAGTACTGTAAATAATATATATCAAAAGTGGCGCGAGCTTTTATCAGGGCAACAATTGTCAAAAGCTACGAATATAACCCGCCAAAGCAGTTTTCGCGTAATTGATTATTGTTATAAGTCCACACAGATCTATCAGAACTTATTAATGGAAGATAAAATGTGGGAACAAAGCTATTGCTGAAATTTTTTTTATTACATCACTCAAAAAGTATTAAAACCAAAAATTACCTCTTTAAAACTACTGGGCTAAGGGACTATTCTGGCTTCACCCTGACAGGTAGGTGACGTCACAGACTCAACCTGAGAGTATTTGCTAACACTAGACCTAGTAAGAGGACTGCTTCGCTGAATCTACCACCGGATCGGAATAGCGACCCACTGTCTAGATCCGGCGAGAATCGCAGCGGGTTGTGTCAGGTTAGGTTGCATTGGCGATCTCGACATGAAGTTTAAAACTGTAGATAACTTGTGTGTATACTATCGAAGCCAATCACCAAAAGATTTTCAGTTTTATCAGCTCTTCAATAAAACTTGAGAACAAAATAAGTAATTTTATTTAATTAAAAAAAATCACATGATATTAAAGTCCGCCATCTTTGTTTATCTGACATTGTCGATTCTCGAATTATGAGTTTGTAATGTCGACAATTATTGCTTTTGTAAATAAATATTTAATGCAATTATCATAACTGAAGTATGTTGTACATTTTAAACTGTATATAATGTATTATTTTATTCACATTAAAATAAAGTTTAGCCCAGTAAAACTATAGCACGAACTGAGTTGCTCTATAAAGAGAAACAACTTAAAAAGCTATTGCTTCACCAGTTTTTATGTTTTTTATATTTAAATATTCAAAAATGTTTTAATATTTCTAATGTTTCTTCTTCTAATGTTTCAATATTCAAATTACCATTTTTGTCACCTGTATATCATATTATAAGCTCTTTTAAGATTTATGTCATAAATCATAGAGAATCATATAGATAAATCATATCACATCATGTATAATTTTATGATATTATCGAGGTGTGAAAGGTTATTTTGTTTAAGCGACATTTTTGCAACTTTACCGAAGAGCCATTAAAAAATTTAAAATTAGTAAACTATTTTTTTTTTATGGCCTCGATGTGTGGACGAGCTCACAGCCCACCTGGTGTTAAGTGGTTACTGGAACCCATAGACATCCACAACGTATATGCGCCACACACCTTGAGATATAAGTTCTAACAGTTCTAAGGTCTCAGTATAGAGTTACAACGGCTGCCCCACCCTTCAAACTGAAACGCATTACTGCTTCACGGCAGAAATAGGCGGGGCGGTGGTACCTACCCGTGTGGACTCACAAGAGGTCCTACTACCAGTAAAATATCATAACAAAAACACTTTTTCAGCCATTTGAATGGGGTACTTAAATTAAGTTCAATTAAAAACATCGAATTGTTGATGCTAATACCAAATAAAACGGATATTTAGTTACAAAGATAAATGTCACGTTTTAAGCGAAATGCCTATCACTCCTCGATATTATTTCTTTAATTAATTGACTTACAAACCATACTGTAAACTAATTTAAAACAAGAAAACACTATATCTTAATCCTTATGTAAGTATTTCTCTGGAAATAAAATTTAATTTACGTTGTCCTGTTAAATAAAAAAACAATATTGTCACTTTAATATCATCATTCGTCATAAAAACAGTATATTTTAATTTTACCTACATAAAATTGTTATTGTCTCAGAGTTAAAATTTTTGACTGCGATAGTAAAAAAACTAATGTAAAAATGCAATAAAGACGAAATAAATGAATTGGGGAGAAGTTGCCTTTTAATTTTAGCGAATTTTATTTAAAAGACAGAGTCGAAGTGCGATTTGCGACAAGACAGCAGCTGTCAAAGTTCAAAATAAATCGCT